GATTGATTAACAATAAATTTTTTGATTGTGTTAGAACAATTGTCTTCTTATGAAAGATATTCTCAATCTTCTTAATGACAGAATAGAGGTCTCTTTAGTGAGAAGATATGGAAACACAGTGGTGAATAAGCTTGTTGTGAAGGGCATTAATAGTCAACCCACCACCTTTTTTGACCTCCAAGTTGGCTACTGGATTTGTTGGGTGGTGATGCAATTGTTATTGTGATGTCCAAAACTTTGGACCTCATTAATTGTTTGTTGGAAGAAAGTATATATCTTTTATGTGTGTCTTGTGGAGTAACCTTTGGTCTTGTTTTTTCGGTGTCGTGGTCTCAACTAATTTTTGTAATTTTGTTTGATGTCATAGAGTTATTTGGTTCTATTTAAGTTTGTTAGTTTGGAGGTGTGTCTCTCATTTGTTTCGTTAGGTTGTATTCGGTTTGAAAGATAAGGTAGGGAAAGGATGTGAAACATGGTTTTTAAAATCGACTCGGATACCGAACCGGTCAGGGGTCTGGTTACTAGGTCAAACGGTTTGACCATTCAAATCGAATGCTCGGCCTGTTCTAACAAAAAATAAAAAATAAAAAACGGTCAAAACTATTTGAATGGTTCGAACGATAAACCACCCGGTTCAATGGTTTGCTGACCAAAATCAATGATTTTGAGGGGAAATCCGGTTTTTGGGGAAAACAGAATCGATTCCCGATTTTTTGGTTCGACCATCCGGACCAGTCTGGTTTTGGAAACCATGATGTGAAATGTAGGGAATCCTGACCTACCTTTTCTTTCAAACCAAATGCAACCTTAATGAAAAAGTTTGATTAGAAAAATAAAACATTTCAAGGAGAAAACAAGAATTCTATCAAACTTTGCTTAATCAATCCTGAGACAAAATTGAATTGATCCATTCCAATGACCAATCTTATAAATTAGTGGTTAACTGTTGGTCACCCTTGATGACATGTCATGGCTAAGGAAAGTCCATTTTCAAAATGGGTGGTCTAAATCCCCCTCTCTTTAGTGTGCATACGCACAAACAACATATCATTTATCTTTCTCTCCTCCGTTGAAGAAAATCACTAAAACTATGACATATTAATCCCCTCTCCAAAGGGTATAGAGTTAAATCCCTTTAGGGGGTCTGGCCCCATCTCTCATTGACTAGATTTTGCCATTTTCTCTTTCGTACATTTTGAGGAACCTTGACCACCACTAGACCTGTTCATGGGCCAGGTCAGGCTTTTACTCTTCATAAACATGATTTTGTTAGGCCCGAGCCCGAGCCCGACCCTGATAAAAAGCTCGACCTAACAGAGGACTCACCACCGGTGACTATGTTCGCCAGTTAGCTGAGATTTTGACAATGAAAAGTGAAGTCAGTTTGTGTCTGTAAGAGAGAGAGAGAGAGAGAAGACTCACCGCCAGTCTACCAGAGTTTATTGGTTGTGCTGGTGAGTGTTTGTCGGCTTTATGGCTGCCTGAGAGTGTGAGGATGTGATGTGAATCACTGTGAAGAGAAGAGAGGTTCAGCAGTTCGACTAACTCGAAAGAGATGAGTGAGGGTTACTTAGGAATTAGGATATTAGGGTTTTTGGGTTTAACCTATAGGTTGGGCCGGGCTATTTTGGAAAATCCCGAGCTTTGCTTAAATTTATTGCGGGTTGGTCTTTTTGGCCCGAGGTCAAACCCACAAACTCAAATGTATGTTCAAGTCCGTCCAGGGGCCGGGCCGGCCCGTCGGGCCACCCAACCCATGAACAGGTCTAACTACCACCACTCCATGTTCCTCCAAAGGGTGATCATGAGTCAGGCCTATGCTAGGCTTAGCCTTTATGATAAGGATTATAGCTTGGGTTGGACATAAGGCCTATAGCATTAAAATGTAACAAAAAAATTATTTATATAATTTTAAACTATATGATGTATGATAATGTATGTGCCCAAACTAGGGAAAGCTTGGTTTGGTTTTATGCCAAATTAGGCCCATTCTAATTCCTATGGCTTGGCTTGGCTTTTGTTTTATAGATATTGCCTTCATTTTTAATTCTTAAGCATTATAATTCTTAAGTTTGGCTTAGCTTTCCTTTTATTAGTGACGAAGGGAAATTTGGCCCGACCTTGTAACAGGGAGACACGTGGGCGTGACTTGGCATAAGTGACAACTCAACATGATCGGATCGGCACGTGGGCGTGACTCTACACAAGTGACAGATCAACATGATCAGTTCGCTACAAAGCGACCTCGGGTACCTTGATACCCCGAACTGAAGATATCCCGAACTAAGATCACCTCGGTATCAAATCGTGACCAGGGTAAACGATATCAAGTCCGCTACGGGACAAACCCGGGCAGATGGACCACCTCGAAAAGAATCCACCTCGAGACTAGCCTATCTCGGCGCAAGATCATCAGTACTAAAGCACGTCGGCATTTAGAGCAGGTCGAGTCTGAAGGACACGAGCTCATGCAGCTCTCCTCTGGGCAACTTGTCACCAAGAGCTCGGCACTTCACAGGCAGCGCTACCTAGTCATACCAACTCCTGCGTAGTAACCCCGAGGAGCTCACCACTGTACTCCGCATTTTGCAGGATTATGATTTGTAATGGCTATATTAGCTTACCTCAGACGGGAGTGGGCAACCTTACCGGTTGGTGGCATTTTACCCACCTAACACGCAAACGGATCCCATCACAGCGAGGATCCAGGAACCACTCCACCAACCCACAAGGACTCCAGTATATAAAGACTTCACCCCCCAGGGGCGAAGGTAGGTTTTTTTATGTGTGTATGCGTAATCTTTGCTCTTAACTCACTGATATCATCTTTAAGCTCTCCACTACTACTACTACTACTACTACTGAGTTTTGAGTGCTAAATTAGCCATCGGAGTGTCCTCGCCGGGTAAGCCACCCCGGGATCTCTAACTCATCTCTCGCAGGTTACCCAGTCCCCATCGTTGCTGGCAGCCAGGTTGTCTTCATCAAGGAGCAGACGGATTACGCCACATCAATAAATTTTATGGATGAAGGCAGATGCCTTCGTTTTAATTCTTAAGCGACAACACTCAATAATATTACACCCAGGTACCAACTACCATCTCGATAGTGTTACATTCATTATCAATTATTGCCTAAAGTTTTAGGAATTAGAATGGATGGCTTATTTTTTTCATCCTTGTAAGGCCTTGACTATGAGGACAATTTTCATACATGAGTTGACTCATAATGAGTGTAATATAATATGAATTGACCCATGCATATATAAATACAATTTTTTTACACAAAAAAATATTTAATATAAAATAAAATATATTTGTATATATATTACTAATAAAAAAATATACTTGTATATATTTATGGGTTGCACTTGTACACAAACCTAGGCCTAGGTCTGGTTTAGGATGGGAAATTAGTAGTTCCATTTCAATTATTAATATTGACTATAAGAAGACTCAAAACCAAATCAATTATTAATCAAAACAATCGAGTCTAGCCTAATTATACTCAAAATCTATAATTATCAATCATAATAATGACTAGAACTACATTTTGGTCATATAACCTTAACAAATCCCATAGTAAAATACTGAATTCTTTATAGGGTAAATTAGAGATGAGTACTCCGTACCTTGAGGATAGTGATAGATAGGTATTTTGAACTTTTAATTGTAACACTTGAATACCCTGAATTCTCAAAAGTAGACACTTTGGTTCATCCATTAGTATTCCGTCAATTAAACATTACAATAATCCAAAAAATACCCTTTTTTGTGTATTTCTGAGATCATTCTTAGGTAATCGGATGTCTCCCTACAATGACGTTTTCACATGGACAACAAATAATAGATTCAAATTTTCTGACAACAACATTCTCTAATAATGATTTTACTTTGCAAAATGATCTAAAAAATACACAAGAAGGTATTTTTGATATTATGTAATGTTTACTGACGGAATACTAACGGATTGGTTCAAGTGTCTATTTTTGAGAGTTCAGTGTTGTAATTGAAAGTCCAGGGTACCTATCTATCACAGGGTACCAATCTGTAATTGATCCTTCTTTATATATTATAAAATGTAATTTTGATCGTATCTTATATATTTATGAAAGTTACTTTTAAATATAAAAATAAAAAATTACAAAAAAAAGAGATCCTTATATATTATTAACCATATTAATGGTTGGGGTATGAATTGTTAACAGCAATCGGTGCTAACCAGCCAATTGTTTCAGGTAAACCCGACCCATCGACAGATTTATATATCGATCACCGGCTTATTGGTTTAGCTAACGGGACTTGAAGAACTCACTGGAGTCACCATGTACTGTTTTAACTGTCCGATCAATCCGAGTCCAATGAACTATGAACCGTTCCAGATGGTCCTACCCGACCCAACAGAAACATAAGCCCAATTTACAAAGGGGCCAGAAAGAGTCAACATTATAAATCCCGTAGATCCAGAGAATTGCATATGAGAAGACCGGCTTGAGGCGTTCAACGGGTGCTCCAACTAATCTCTTGCCATGATCAAATCCGAACGTTTCGGGCGAGTCCCGATCTGATACCAACACATGGTCCCAACAACCATTGGAGATGCTGCGATGCACGCTGCAATGGGCCAATGGCTGTTGGGACTTGGGACTAGATCCGAGCTCGATCCGAGAAAAATATCGAGTAATTCCAAAATGGGTTGGGTATACACATTTTATATCCGGATTCGGGTCGGTAGGAGAAATAATCAATAGTTCAACACACGACGACGATTACAACCATCGTCACAAGTGTCACCAGCCCAGACTGCGACGAAATCATACTGAACCCGACCAGTTGCCACCATCTTCATTTGGAGGGAACGCAGAGTCTGCTTTTCCATTTCCTCCATTTGCGTTCTATTTTTTTGAATCTTTCCGGCAACTGCCTCTGAATCCTCTGATCTACAAATTTGCCGGGAGAGAGAGAGAAGGAAGAAGGAGGAGAGCTTTGAAATCTCTAAGCATGGCCTCCAATTCATCGAAGAATTTACTATTACCAGTTTCCGATCGTCCGAAAGGTGACGAGGACCTCTTCAAGGGTTCCGCAATGACGAAAAGGGGGGCCTACGCTTCGATTTCTTACATGACTTGTGCAGGTTTATTAATTTTCAATCCTCATTGCTCCTACCCATTAAGCTTCATTGCTTTGGTTTGAATTTAGTCTTTGTCTTTACGTTCGTTCTCTGTCTCTCTTTCTTTCTCTCCACCTTTCTCTTGGAATCTGTTTCGGTGTTTTGTCGATTTTCTTTTTCTTAATTGTTTTTCTGTTTCAGTGTAGTTTAGACAGTTATCACCTTTATGAAAGAATTTTAACCCATTTGTATTTTCATCTCCATTCTGTTATTTCAATTTGTTTGGTTGGGCAGCTTTTGCATTGACACAGTGAAATTTCTGTATCTCTCTATCCCCACCTGTAGGATCAAATTTGTTTACTCTTCTGTGCAAGGGGGTTGCCTTATAATTCTTCGAATTAGCGGCAAGATATGACTTGTGGAGTCACTGAATGGAACGTAGTGAGGATTTGGTTTGTGTTAGTTTGGAGATTGACTTTGGAATTTCAGTCATGGTAGTTCTCTCTTTATCTTCCAGAGCATATGGTAATTAATTTGGACTTCAGTTTCTTTTGTTCTTTGAGAAGATTTCATGCATGGAATACAGAGTTCTATCTGAAAGTATGTCATTGGCAACATGGGCAACTGTTACAACTCTTTGAAGAATTTGTAATGCTGAGGTACGAATTATGCCTGGGGAAAACTGGGTTGTCTTGGTTATTATTTTCTTTTAGCAAAATCTGGGAGTATAGCGAAACTTCAGATAGTGGAGTACTGAAAGTATCAAATTTTCAGCACAAGTGCACAAAGTTGTGACAGGAAGAAAACTGCAGTTAATCGAGAATAAGAATTATAGTGAACCAGGAAAAGACTTATGGAGTAAAAATTAACGTGGAAAGACTTTTCCTTCCTTGGGATTGGCCGGATAAGTTTACAGAGAAGGGGAAGAATATTTTATATTTATGTAATCCTTATTTTTCCTTTTGGCGTGTCTTACTTGAGATGTGGCGCATAGATGGATAATCCGGTGGATATTAGGAAAATACTAGTAGCAAGAATGTATTTATTTTATAAGAACATATATGGAGGAGTTGCAACTAAGGTGGAAAGATTGGTCAATTTCAATAGGCTTAAGTGGGCTAAGGCAGACGATGTTAGGTTTACATTAGAAGATTGTCATAGGTACTTATTTACTATTTATTTATTTATTTATTTACATTTTGCATTGTACGTGGATCAATAAGAATTTGTGATTAAAAGAGTTGCTTTGGAATATGTTTATGCGGGATGTACTGTTGATTAACACTACCAGTGGTGGGATAGATCAAAATAAGCACAATGGAGGGTTTCCTTGAAATCCATGGTGGCCATATTTATTCACAGATTGGGTTGATGCATACCTACAAATCATTGCATAAGTGGAAAAAAAACCTGTTGTCTTAGCTTGGTTGGAAGCACCATTTTCTTAGAAAATGGTGCCTTTTTTTTTGTTTGGAATCGTTGCTGCCAGGTAGGACGTTTCCTGGAGCAACAACAACTTTTTCTGTTTGGTACCAATGCTCCAGGAAATGTTTTCTGCACTTCTACCCATTATCCAGTGCCACATCACTGCCCTGTTGGCAGCAACGAGCTGCAGCTCCAGGAAACACCAAATTTAGTGTTGCTCCAAGCCATGCCTTTCCAATTTCCAAGGCGTGGCTTGGAGCACCGTTTTCTATGGAAAAACGGTTCCAAACAGATGGCTGTTTCCTGGAGCACCGTTTTTTTCTATGTGGCGCTGATGTGGCGTCGTTGCTCCAGGAAACGACAACGATGCCAAACAGCTGCTTAAAGAATGGTTTGGTTCAGTTTGGGGCTCTGGACATGATAGCACCTAAAATTTAGAGTTAATTGCATTAAGTTGAGCTTGGACTTTGAATATTATGGGTTTTGGAGTTCTCTGATCCAAGACACTTCACATGGACCACTATATTGGGGAGGATGTGTATAAAAGGGAGGTTTCTTCAAATCATTTGCTAGGATCTACCTCTAAGAAGACATATTCATTATTTAGGTTTGGTTAAGAACAAGGGATTCTAAGGTGTATATCTTCTAGTAAATTAGATTTAGGTAGTTGTATGCCTATGTTAGGTTACTGCCCAACACAAAGGAGAGAGAGAGAGAGAGTGAACTCAATTCCTTGCTCAACAATTGTAACAGTCTCCCTTTTATAGGCTTACAATAGATCCAAAGAGGTTACAACTAACTCCCTCTTGTCAGTTGCCTTGTTATGGTCTCTTCAGCCTCTTCCTCGAGTAGAACCTGGCATGTCTTGGGTCATCTGGGCATGAAGGTAAACCCATGGGCCTAAGAGTGCCCCATCCCCCCTATGGTGAAGGTCAACCCCGTGCTCAAGGTTGAAGTGGGGAAATTCATGTTGCATCTGCTTGAAAGGTTCCCATTCTGTATATTCAGCAGGTAAGTTGGTCCATAACACTTCGGCTTCTTTAGTGATGTGCTGACCTTGCTTGACCCATCCGAAATCTATGATTTTGTATGGTTCCACTTGCAGGTGGTCATCCCCAGAGAAGTCTGGAAGAGTGGAGCTGTACATCATGTTGCAACTGATGTGCTTTTTTATAAAGGATGTTGAGTTGGGCCTAGTTGTTTTTATTCTTATTTTAAGTTATTTAGTTAGAAAGTTGTTGGGATTTAGGCCCATTAGTTTATGTTTTTAAGTTGTGACTGTTCAGCTACATTAGTAGCCGCCCTACTAAGGGCATCCTTGTAATATCTCATCCTTTAAGCTAAGTATAAATTATAATGAGGGGTTGGCGGCTAGGGTTTATCTAAGAATCCTGGTTGACTTCCTACTCTTTTCTCCTCCTCTTTTCTTCTTTACTGCTGAAATCTTGATCTTCCTCCTCTTTCCCTTCACAAGAAATTCAACTAAATCTACAATCAGTGATTTCTACTTGGTATCAGAGCAGGCTGAAGGTTCCTTAAGTTGTTTTCTCATGCGGCCCTAGATCGGCCGACTGCATGGTGATTTAAGAGGCTGATCGAAGATCTCAAGTAAGCCTAGTTTTTGGATTTTTTGGTGGATCTGTTTGCCCTGTAGCTGGTCTAGGGTTTCTCATCAAAATCGGGAAAAATTGGAGAAAGGGGAAGAGTCCTATTTCTGTTGGACTCTTCAATTTTGACCTATGAAGTGGCACCCTAATTTTTTAGGGTTCCTTGGAGTTTTCTGTAAGGGGCGGTTCAAGTCCTGCCTGATTTGGAGGCTTCTAGAGAGAGCGACTGCCTCTTCTCTCTCTTCTCCCGTCCCGCAAAAAAGGGATCTTTTGTGGGAAGACAGTTTAGGACACCAGAAAGGTGTTGTTGGTTTCATAAGTGTTTCGTTTGGTCTTCTTGCATATTTCAGTTATTTTCTTTACACTTTTTGAGAAGCATGAAGGGTCATGGAGTTGAAAATAATCCCGACAGTGAAATGAGACCAGTTGGAGGAGGTTCTGGAGACCTTTTCGGGATTGGGACCATTACTACAGTTAGGTTGGATGGTGCAAATTACTTAGAATGGCCACAATCTGCAAAGATGGCCATTGGTGCTTGTGAGAAATTAGGGTATATCATTGGTGAAGAAGTGAAACCCGAAACTAGCAACTCCCGGTGGGTACAGGAGAATTATATGGTGATGACTTGGTTGTGTAATTCTTTGCCCCATATAAGTAAAAAAATTTTATGGGCAAATACAGCTAAGGAAATATGGGATGGGGTTGCAGAAACCTATTCACAGAGGGAGAATGTTGCTAGGGCTTATCAGTTGAGAAATCAGATTGTTTCTACAAGGCAGGGAGATAGACCTATTGCAGCCTATTTTTTTGCCCTTAAAACCCTATGGCAGGAGATTGACCATTTAGAGACATTTGCTTGGGAAACCACTAAGGATGTAGCTACCTATCATAAACATCTAGAGAAGTATGGGGTGTTTGAATTTCTTGCTGGCTTTAATCCTGAGTATGATATTGCAAGACAGGATCTTCTTTCCAGGGACAGTGTTACCCTCTCCCAAGCATATGCCTTTGTGTCAGGGGAGGAGAGCAGGAGAGATGTGATGATGAGAAATCCTGTTTCTGATTAGTCTGCCATGGTGAGTACTGTGAAACCTAAACAAAGTGGAGATCGGGGTGGTAGTGAAATCAAGAAGGAAGATAAAAGAGATTTGATCTGTGACTACTATATGAAGCCTAAACACACAAGAGATTCTTGTTGGAGGCTTCACCCACATCTTGTGCCGAGTAGATTGGAAAATAAGAAGGGAAATGCTTATATGGCAGTTGCTGGTGACATTCCGGCCCCTCCTACTACAGCTGCTCTAGAGTCTGTTGCAGCTGCTGCAGTAAGGTCCGAACTTGAGAGGTATGGGCAACTTCTGAACCAGCGGGATACAACCAGTTCCAGTTCAGTAGCAAGTGGACAACAAGGTATAGGTGGTACTGGTGGAGTCCACTCTACTTCCTTTGCTCACATAAGTAGTTCACACGCCACTGCAAATTATGTTTCTACTTCAGGTAAGGAGGGACCTCATTGGATTACAGATTATGGAGCCTCAGAGCACATGACCCATAGCTCTACTACTTTCTCTTCTTACCAGTTTTGTTCTGGCAGAGATAGGGTTTCCACAGCTGATGGATCCCATGTTCCCATTGCTGGGAAGGGGTCTGTCAAGATTAGTGATTCTATTTCTCTACCCTCTGTCATTCATGTTCCCAGATTGAGCATTAATTTGTTATCTGTTAGTAGTTTGATTAAGAACCTGAACTGCTCAATAATTTTTTCTCCTGGTCATTGTATTTTGCAGGATCTGGATTCAAAGAGGACGATTGGGAGTGGTCGTGAAGTGAATGGGATCTACCTCCTGGATGTGCTTCCTCCTCATTAGAGTCATCATGTCAACAGGGATAGTGAGTTAGGGTTTATGGGTCAAATTATGCTTTGGCATAATCATTTGGGCCATTTACCTTTTTCTTCTTTGAGCCTTTTGTTTCCAAAACTTGTTGAGTCTGGAGTGTGAAGGTTGTCAATTTGGAAAGCAGTGTAGACATTCATTTAAACCTAGTAATAAAAGGTGTTCTTCTTCTTTTGATGTTATTCATTGTAATGTGTGGGGACCTTACCATGTTCCTTCTATGGAAGGCTATCGATATTTTCTCTTATTTGTGGATGATTTCTCACGATACTCTTGGATTTACCTRATGAGATCCCGCGATGAAGTACCATCCTTGGTGAGGCAATTTCATCAGATGGTGCTAACATAGTTTGGAACAAGACTAAAGGTGTTCAGATCAGACAATGCCAGGGAAAATTTTGAAAAACACCTTGCCTCATATCTATTAGAATATGGTGTTGTCCATCAGAGCAGTTGTCCCTACAATTCACAACAGAATGGTGTTGCAGAAAGGAAGAACAAACACATTGTTGAGATTGCAAGAAGCATGATGATCACATCTACAGTTCTAGTTCGGTTTTGGGGTGATGCAATTCTCACAGCAGTATATATGATTAACAGGGTGCCCTCTCGTATACTTGGATTCAGCACCCCATTGAGTCTCCTTTTTCCTGAGGGGGAGATGTTTCATATTCCTCTCAGGGTGTTTGGGTGTGTCTGCTTTGCACATATCCTTGGTCCTCACCGCTCAAAGCTTGATCTCAAGGCAAAGAAGTGTGTCTTCCTTGGATATGCAGAAAATCAGAAAGGGTACTGCTGCTATGATCCAGTCTCTGGGAGCTGGTATGTTACCATGGATGTTACCTTTTTTGAATCTACATACTTCTTCTCAAAGAATCCTTCTTAGGGGGAGTGTTTTGGGGAAGTGAGTCAGCAGTCTATTCCTCTCCCAGTTCTAGTCCCTGTGTCTACTCCTGTGCTTGACCCTCTTGTGTCACCTACCTTACCACCTCCTTTGCGTCCTGCTTCTCAGCATTACTTACGACAGAGACTTCACAAGGAGGTTGGTTCCACTACAGCAGAACTCACATCACTTCCTGCCGGTTCTTTGGAGACTCCTGATTTAGTTGACATGGATTCCGGTATTCCTCTTGGTCCCGCTACTGTTTCAGTTCCCATTGATTCTACTAACCCTGTTACAGATAACCTCGATCTTCCTATTGCTCTCAGAAAAGGGAAGAGAAAGTGTACTGCTCATTGTATTTCATAGTACTTGTGGACTTTCTCCTTCCTATTGTGCTTTTTTTTCTTCTCTTGACACTGTGTCTATACCCAAGGGTGTTAGTGAGGCTCTCTCCAAACCTGAGTGGAAGACAACTATGTAGGAAGAGATGGCAGCTTTGATTAAGAATCAAACATGGGACATTGTGGATCTACCAGAGGGCAAGGAGATAGTTGGATGCAGATGGGTTTACTCAGTAAAATATAAGGCAGATGAAAGTATAGAAAGGTACAAGGCAAGACTTATTGCAAAAGGGTACACATAGACCTATGACATTGATTACTTAGAGACCTTTGCACCAGCTGCAAAGATGACCTCTGTTTAGATACTTCTTTCTCTTGCTGCCTCATACTCTTGGCCCTTGTTTCAACTTGATGTGAAGAATGCTTTCCTAAATGGGGATCTGCAAGAGAATGTGTATATGGAACTTCCTGCTGGCTTCTACAGTGAGGCTGAAAAGGGAAAGGTATGCAGGCTTAAGAAGTTACTTTATGGCTTGAAACAATCTCCTACAGCATGGTTTGATAGATTCAGAAAGGCCTTGATTGCTTTTGGATGCACTCAGACTCAATCCGATCATACCTTGTTTGTGAAGCGAAGGGGATCTTTGGTGTCAATCCTAATTGTTTATGTGGATGATATTGTTGTCACGGGGAATGACCTATGTGAGATTGATTGTCCGAAAAGAAATCTACATAAAGAATTTGAAATTAAGGATCTTGGAGAACTAAGATACTTCTTAGGCATTGAAGTTGCAAGATCAAAACATGGAATTTTTATCTCTCAAAGGAAGTATGTCTTGGATTTTCTTCAAGAGACAGGGAAGCTTGGAACGAAGGCAATCAGTACCCCTGTTGATCAGAACTATAGAATCAATGCATCAAAAGGTGAGCCAGT